ATGACACCTTTCATGATGGTGAGAGGTACATTGTTCCAATGATTTGGTGCAATCATGAAGTTAGTTTACCGAATAATTATTATTCATCCATAGCTAAGCTCAAGTCTTTAGAAAGAAGGTGAGATAGAGATCCGTCGCTCCATGAGAAGTATGCCGAAACAATGAGATATGATATAAGATATGCCATAACCGTTAAGGCGCACAATCCCAAATCATGAGCCAATCGTGAGTGGTATCTGCCGCATCATCCGGTGTTGAACCCGAACAAACCCGGCAAGGTTCGCCGAGTCCCCAATGAGGCATCGAAGTGTCATGGCGCCTCCTTGAACAAGTCTCTGTTGGCTGGCCCACATCTCCTTCAAAACCGCATTTCGGTACTTTTGAGATTCCATCAGCATCAAAACTCCGATTCAGCAGACATTCAACTGATGTTTTTTTAAGTTTGAAATCCGTGAAAAATATCACTATTTTGAGGAGGGAGGACCCCACATCAAATGTGGTAGCTCACCAATACATGCGTCACAGTTTCAACGCTCGTGAATTGCCGACATGTGCGAATTTTTCTCTGCAGAAGACTGCATCTGATCATCAAGCTGAGTACGCCGAAGCTGCTTCAGCTATTGTCCAGAAGTTAAATTTGGAAGACACTTAGATTCTTTACAAAACAGTGATGACGCCTTCAAAATAGATATGGATTTAGCCTCGTTGCTTAAGCTAGGTGGGTTTCATCTGCCAAAATTTGTCAACAACGTGTCCAGTGTGACAACTACTCTTGATCGGGACAACCGTGAGTCTAATTCATCTGTTAAAGATATTTGTAGGAGACCAGACCTATCATCGCATGTCATCGGTCTTAAGTGGGAGCACGTAAAAGTTATATAAGTCGTTAATAGAGGGTTGATCGTTCACTAGACAAAGCAACCAGTCAGCACACTGCGTTGAGTTTTGTTTCCTCTCTTTTTGATCGAATTGGATTAGTAGCTCCGTATACTGTGAGGGCTCGCCTTCTATTAAAAGATTTTTGGCAAATCAGTGGTCAAAACTGGGACGATGATCTCCCGGAGAAAATCAAAAAGCAGTTCCTTAAAAAAATTCAGTTCTTCCTTTGTTAGATTCTCTGACAATACCTCGTAGCTATTTCACTGAACTTTTCGACCAAATAGAACTTCAAATGTTCGGTGATAGTTCGCAGGATGTTTTCTGCGCCGTCTCTTTCCTTCGTGCGCGACTTACTAGTTCACATAAGACTGAATTAGCCTTTGTATTTGGCAAAGCCTGCGTGGCTCCTATGAAAGCGCTATCTCTTCCAAAGTTAGAGCTTCAAGCGGCTCTTCTTGCAACCCGTCTAAACGAAGACATTTTGAAAGGTCTGATGTTCGAAGTTTTAGAGATTTTTATGTGGATAGATATTACCAGTGTTCTTTAGTGGCTTAACTCATGTAATAAATTAGCCGTTTTTGTTAGCAATTGCACTGGTGAGATTCTGGAGTCTACCACCACTGATCAGTAGCATTACGTACTTAGCGGTGATAACCCAGCTGATACCGGTACATGAGGGATTCCTTCAGAAGCCCTCAAAGAAAGCAGCTGAGTTCATGGCCCTAGTATACTGAGGACAACTGATTGGCCAAGTGTGTTATCAATAAAATAAGAAACAAAGAATTTTCTAGTGATATCGAAATTTGTCTGCAAAGTTCGTCAAATTTTGTCGTCGACGTTTTGACAGAGAAAAATCTTCCATTCGGGAAATGGGAGAGATTCATTTTAATTATAAGACACAATTGGGCAATAGCCTTGTTGTTGAAATCATTGCCATTTCAGCCATTTCAATAACATATCCGGTCGAGTACATTAGAAATTGCCGACCCGTGTGCGTTGAACATTGCTGAGCAGAAACTCAATTGCCTGTCCCAGTGTGAGACATTCCCTAGCGAGTTAAAACTACTAAGCTCCCCTAAAGTTATAACAAGGAATAGTCGGATCGCCAAGTATTCGACGTCCATTGGACCAGCTGGCATCCATCGCTCGACTGGGCGCATCAGCCGTTTGGTTAGTACCGATATCGATAGCAAGCATCCAATTATACTTGATGCACGTCACCCGATTGTTTGGTTTTTGTCTAGACACTTGCACGGTAGAAACTTCCATCAAGGTTTGCATTACATGCGTGCGGTGGTTAATTTGAAAAAAATTGTGTTGAAATTGTGCTGGTTGCTGCGAAACTTTAAAAATACTTGCGTTACGCGCCGAAAATGCAAAGCGCAAACCGTAACACACCTATAATGTCTGATCTGCCAAATAAAAGGTTGCGTTATAAACAACATCCTATCTCTAACACAAGTTTCGACTACGTTGGGCCATTCCTAGTTCCGTTCCTCAGAAGTACGGAAAAACAGTGGGGTTTTTTGTTCGCCTACCTCACCACTAGAGCGGTACACATTGAAGTGGTCCCCTCTTTCGACACAAGTTCTTGTGTTACGGGCGTGGAGAGTTTTATTGCACGTCGCAGTGCTCCGACTACCATCATGTCCGACAACGGCACGAACTTTGTTGGCGCTCAAAAAGAGCTCTTAGCTTGCACTGAGAGTTGGAACAATCTGGTTCCCGCTGTTTTTGTTCAGAAAGGGATCGAGTGGAAATTCAATCCACTCAGCGCACCGCACCATGGTGGCTCATGGGAGGAATTAGTTACGAGTGTCAGGCGTGTTTTGAATGACATCCTAGGCAACAGAAGAGTAACTGAGGAGGTTTTATGAAACCACGCTGTGCCTTGTTGAGCAGTCACGTACCGCAAGACCGACAACAGCCCTTAGTTCCAGTCCGCTATAATTAGAGGCGTTGACCCCAAATTATTTTATACTTGGTCATCGCGCTGTGAATTTCCCGTTGCTAAACTTCGAAGAAAACTTCGACCATAAGATGCGGTACGCTAGAGCGAAATCAACCGCTAACTCAATATGAAAACGTTGGATGCGGGAAAACGTTGCTTCCCTCAACAGGAGTGCAAAGTTTCACAACCAATCAGATGTTAAGGTGAAAGCCAGCGACTTGGTTTGTGTCATAGAGCCGGACAGTCCACGTGGAACTTACCCACTCGCACGTATCGCTCGACTGCCTTACGGCAAGGGCGGATACGCGAGATCCGCCGACATAAAGGCCGTTACGAGCAAATTGAACCGCCTGACCGTTAGTTCGCTCCCATTCTTCCTTGTTTGGGGACAGAGGATGTTGCAAGGCAAACGTAACGAGATTATAAATGCATAAAAATAAATGCATACATTGACGTAATAAAATGAAAGAAAAAGAAACTGCATATAAGAACAGATAGCCAAGCAGCGCTAGCTAACGTACCGCCGACTATACAGACTTTTCAGGTGGCGAGGGTTCGAGTCCCCCCATACCCTAACCTTTAAACATGTAAGCCCGAGGCGCTCTAGCCCGACTTGAATTTTCTAATTTGGTTCATTCTTGATTGAAGCTGACTGTCAAAATGAGCAATTTGTCTCAAGGACAAAAACTGTCTATTTGGCAGCTTGCTTTGAGTTTTTCAGACAATTATGGCCGATGGTACCGATATTAAAGTATGTTAAAAGTCGTTTTGTTTCAAACTTTCCAGAGTTAGTTTGCCGAGAAAAAGCTCGTTAATTTAACCGTTCAAAATCAGATGTTTCACCATTTGTGGAGATTTGTGTGTACACTTGTTTTATCAGGGAAACCAATTATGTTTATCGCAAATTTGCCGAGAAGCTTTTGTTTCAGTCTGAATAAATTAATTATAAAATATGTTTTTCTTGAGTATTAGTTGTTTGTGCTTTGCGCTTAGGTTGAGTAGAAACTGTGCGTATAAATATGTCCTAGGGATATTAAATATGGTGATAATCTGGAAATGGACGCTACAAATCGGATTTTGTTCAAAATTTTTTTAGTTTTTTCGAAATTTGTTAAATATTTCTCCTGTTTTGCAATAGGAAGGAGGAGAGGTTCATTGCAAAAAAAAGTTGCGTATGCTAAATGAATTGGTTTATTTATTATGGGGGAATTTGTTACAAGGCATGAAAGGAGGGAAAGACTGGTTAACAAAATCCATTATTTGAAGATTATTTGCAACGGAGTAGAAACTTTTGTTAGGTTAAGCAAATCCATCTCAAGTTTATCAAATTGTTTGCTAGTTCAAAAGAAGTTTAACAAACCCATCTTAAGTTTATCAAATTGTTTGCTAGCTCAAAAAAAAATCAAAAATGTTAAAGGTATATAAGTAAACCTATAATTTTTCTATGATTTTTCCCTAATTTCGAGATTTAAGATTTATACTTTTCATTTTGTGAGGATATAGATTCAGGACATGAGGATAAAGATTCAGTGCTTTGAAAAACTCGAAAATTTTAGCACTGTGATAAATCCGAAGGTTTTTTGCTAGCTTTGCTGAATTTTCAAGAGTTTTAGAGGCCTTGACAAGGTTTTTAAGATGACTGGACCTGGGATTCTCTTGTGCGCTAAAAAATATCAAGTTCATTACTCTGTGTATCTTAATTGATATAACACAATTACATCTTTTGCCTAATAAAATCTATTGCAAATCTATTGCATCCAAAGTTGCACTCAAAGTTTGTTCAAAATGTGCAGATTTTTTTTTATTTTATTGAGTTTTTCTCTACAAATTGTTTGCTAGTTGTTATATATAATGCATTTGGCGCCGTCAAGAACGAAAAAACTCTGTGTATAACATATAATTTTTTAAATATTTTTACTGTGTTTACAGTTTATACTTTCTGTTTCATTGTAAAAACTAGCGGAGTAGAATAACTTTTTCGGTTTTCTTTGTCTGTCGAAACATTGCCTTTTTCCAACTTACCTCACAACATTTGAGTTTCGGTTTTAGAAAAACTATTTTAACTTGGTCATAATGCAATGCAAACCTGTGCGAGGAGCAAAAATAACTATTCTGAAAACATTTTTTTGTACTAACAACCAAAAATTACGCATTTAGTCATAATAGCTTTATATGGACTGTGAAAACGATCATTTTGTGACTGGGTAAGGAAGAGCCAAAACTTATTGTGTCTTTATTATTTACAATTGCTTGGCCTAATATCTAGGTCTGTTCATCTATAGGCTCTGATACAAATGCGTTTCTGCTATTCCTGTTATCATCTCGATTGACCTTTGACCTTTGCAACTGACCTTCTGACCACTTGGTTGTTTGCTTGAAATGAGATAGCAAATTGTAACCAATTTTGGTTAATTTAGAACGTGCTTTTGTATTTATACGTACCATTTTCAAATATGTTCGTTTAAATGAACTATATCTCACTTTGACCAAAGCGCATTTTTTTAAACATTGATTAGTATATATAATGATGCTATATTCAGTTGTTATTATTTTTTCAGTTATTTTCATAATAACTTGGAATCCAATTCTGTCGTTTTTTGCTTCATTTCTGGCTTTTAATGTGCTCGGAGGATGGAAATATAGCAAAACTTTACCGCGAGACCTCTCAACAATTCGAGTTTTTATACACCTAAAATTAATAATTTCACGATACGAAAAGGCCAACTTGACTATAATCGAGTGCTTTGAGAAGACTGCCAAGAAGTTTCCTACTAAGGCTATGTTCAACTTCGAAGGACAAACACAGACTTTTTCATTGGTCAACGAACAGGCTGAGAAGATTGCGAGTTTCTTCCAAAGTGTTGGCGTTAAAAAAGGAGATTGTGTTGCTCTTTTCATGGAAAATTCCCCGGACTTGGTGTCGTTCTGGCTGGGATGTGCCAAAATTGGAGCCGTGTCCTCCCTCATAAATTTCAATTTGAGGGAGAAATCTCTAACTCACTCTATAAACACATGTAAACCAAAATTATTGGTTGTTGCATCATCTTTTGCTCCAGATATTGCCCACATTTTAGAAAGTTTAGAAATTTCGGGCAAGAAAAATTCGATTTACGTTCACGATGAAGGATTTAAAAAACTGCAAGGTTCTGACTTAGGACCTCGAGGCGATGTTTTTTCAGACGAGTTTGAGGGTTTCGAAAACATTTCGGAGAAGTTAGTCTCTCAAACTGGAGGTTATATTAGACCGAAGCTTCATTTGAGCGATCTTTTGATGTACATTTACACATCAGGAACGACCGGATTGCCAAAAGCGGCGAAGATTACGAATTATCGGTTCATGAACATGGCTGTCGGCGTCGGCTATTTGAACAAAATAACCAAAGATGACGTTTTATGGACGCCTCTGCCATTATACCACAGTAACGCAGGTATACTTGCAGTCGGCCAGGCTATATACAACGGAGCAACTGTTGCGTTTCGCCGAAAGTTCTCAGCTAGCCGATTTTGGAACGATATCACTGAATCAAAAGCAACGTGTTTTAACTATTTGGGCGAGATTTTGAGGTACATTTACAAGCAGCCGTACAACCCATGCGAGGAAAAACATCAGTTGAGGACTATTTTTGGCAATGGGTTGAAACAGCAATTGTGGTTGGACATCAAATCGAGGTACAAAATCCCGCATATTTGTGAGATTTATGGGTCGACCGAGGGCAACTGCAACCTGGTGAACTTTGACGAGACGCCCGGAGCCTGTGGGTTCCTGTCAATCATTTTCCCCAAGGATTGGCTCTTTTCAAATTAAACCATCAAACAACAATCTAGCTTTTTATATGTCCAAGTACATGAAATGAATCAAAGAAGGGCTCTTTTCCAGTCCCCCCTTTCAAAATACCGAGTTTTATGTTTTTTTTACGTGTTATTACGGCTAAATGCGTGATGTTGCGCTGTTAAGTATGAAGAACAAATCTGTTCAGTTGTCGATTTGTTCACCACGCCAAGTTTCATTGCATTATGACAACGTTAAGTAAGCTTTTCAAAATTGAATTTGAAAGGGGGGGGTTCATCAAGGATTCGACCCCCTCAACAACCAAAGGGTCCCCCTTTTGGTATTATTCTGATATATCCATTTTATAGGCTGACCAACCCTAAAAGTTTTCTAACGGCGCCTTTGACGCCAATATATACTAATGTTGAAGGAGAGTGCGCGCCAAAAAAAACGCACTTTTTTGGTCAAAACTTTCCAAAAAATGTCCAAATACAGCTTTTTGACCTATTTTTTTTAAAAAGTTTTACCAATTTTTGTAATAATCGGACAGAAAAAGAGCTCTTTTCACTTATAATTCGGGGAAAAAACGTTTAATTTTTTTTCTGATGTGCTAATAAAAATTTTGGGCTCTTTTCCAGTCCCCCCCCCCCTTTCCAATTCAATTTTGAAAAGTCTATTTAACGTTGTCATAATGCAATGAAATTTGGCGTGGTGAACAAATCGACAATTCTGAACAGATTTGTTCTTCATACTTTGCAGCGTAAAATCACGCATTTAGCCGTAATAACACGTAAAACAAATATAAAACTCGGTACTTTGAAAGGGGGGGGGAACTGGAAAAGAGCCAAATTTTGGGTGTAAAAGTAAAAAGATCCGGCTCCAGTGAAAAAATGGGAAGTTCATACAATATATATAAAAAAGAGCCATGGAGTCAAGACAATATTTTCTGAAGGACATAGTCGGAATCTACCTAATGAAGTGCGACGATGAGGGAAACCTCATCAGGGACTGGAGGGGGTTGTGTGTGCAGTCGCAGCCTGGAGAACAGGGGCTGGTAGTGGGCTCCATTAAGGAGAGTGACCCAACTAGGCGGTTCGACGGATACTTGGGCGAAAATGAGACCAACAAAAAGGTTCGATTTACCACAATAACTGGTTGCTGTTCAAGTTTGACATATGCAGTTTTTTTCCACTTTCCACCGAATTTCAACATATTTCCGGGTTTTCCCACCAATATTTCAAAGTCTTTTGTAAGTTTCTAGCAAAATTATCCAAATAGTGTTCCGGTCACAATAAAAGCATTTTTACAGAGCATTTTTTGTTAAACATGTCGTTACACCATGAAGTTATTGCGTATGCGAGGTGGGGAAACGGAAAATAGTCAATCAGATTTGTCAGTATTTGTTTTTCAAAAAATGCTCAATTTTTTGACAACCCAGGAAACTCAAGCTCAAATGATCCAAACGGGTGATAACGAACCTCTAAACTCAAGTTAGAAAAAAATGATGGTTGGTGCGAGTTGGTACACGTAAAAATGAATTTAATGAAAATTGTTGAAAGCTGGGAATGAATTAAAGAAATGTAAGACAGACACTAAACGCTTCATAGGTGAAACAAAAATGCTCGTATCAGGCCGAAGCCTTGAATGGATCAAGACTGCTCGTAAAAGCGCAAAACCTACCTTGAATGTTCCGACTGCAGATTAATGGCTAAAGTTGGGATCAAATTTTCAAAAACAAAAATGTTTCGCATTTTTCAATTTTCTTGATTTTTTTTTAAATGATCCTCCTACACGCTGTATAAAAAACATTTTATTAGATTTTGCATTTGGAAAAGTGTTAAGTTGGCTAAAAAGCAGGCTTCAATTAAGTTTGGAACCATATCTAGGATGAATTAAATCTCCAATTACTCGTTTTTAGCACAAAAATATTATGCGTTTATGACTCCAAAATGGCTCAAATATCCCAAAAATGACAAACTTTAAAGCCCCATTGCTTTGGAAAAAATGATCACAAATGGACAATACCTTTCAAATAATATCAAAAAAATTCCGTCAAAACCTGCTACTTCACACCGAGCACAAATAAAAATCACACCGAGCCCAAATATTCCGCTTTTTCTTCAAAAATTGGAAAAAAAACAAGTTGAATGCCTTAATTCATTTCTGAACGATCTCTCAGGTAGATTTAATATTTGTCTACGCGTTAATAGCACAAAACATGTTGCGCGTTAATTATCACAAATTGGCGATTTGGCAACCTTTGAACACACATACTTTTACAACAAAAAAACGACCACAGTTGAATATCTTTTTAAATTTGAGCTCAGCACAGCCATAGTTTTTGTATGATAATTTTTCAAACCAAAAATGTCTAGTTGAAAAAGTCGAAAGGTGTTTGGGTAAAAATCTCTGAATTAGGTGAAAAATCTTGACTCTGGCTGCTTGTTGCTTTTCTCAGGGCGCGGCTCTTTTGTAGTATTTAACGGAATTGTTGTTTTTATACTTGAGAGGTTCCAAGTTTGCTCAGGACTATAACTAGAATGAATACTTTTAGTTATCTGCTCTAACTCATAATTTATTATTGCCAATCTACTGTATTTTAACCCATTTTAAATTCAAATATCTAACTTTTTGGATTTTATTTCAACTTTGTAAGGTAGCGCGTAACGTGAAGAAGAGGGGCGACCAGGCATTTGTGTCTGGGGACATTTTGTACATGGACCAGTTGGGCTATGTCTACTTCAAGGACAGAACCGGGGACACTTTCAGGTGGAAGGGGGAGAATGTGTCCACGTGTGAGGTGGAGAGTGCACTTGCGAGCTCCGTAGAACACAGGTACTATCCAAAGCCCCCCACTTCATGGCTGTCTCCCATTATAATCCCCCTCAGCATAGCATAGTAGCAAAAAAATTATAACCCCCCCCGCCCACAACGCCACAACAAGAGTGTTTTTGCATTTCGTGCATCATAATTTGCCGAGGGGATTATACTGGAAAAACAACCTAGTTTAAAGAGTCTAAATAAAATGATTAGAATTTTTTTGAATTAACCCTGGCTGGAATTAGCCATGGATGGTTTACGTTTACGTTTAGGAGAGAAACTTCAAAGTTGCAGGATGTTAGACCCGAGAAAATTCAGTCTTGATTTATTTGGAGGGGGAGAAATTGTGGACACGAGCAGAATCTTTAGCTCGTTGTTCAGCAACCGTTTTAAACTTTATTTAAATTTCGATTGCTCATCACTTTCGTAGTTTTTCATGTTGTTCATCTAGAGACGTGATCGTATATGGAGTGGAGATTCCCGGGACGGATGGGAGGGCGGGAATGGCTGCCATCGGGAATGAAGACGGTCACGTGGATATGTGTCGTGTATCACGTGCCGCACTCTCTCTTCCGTCATACGCGAGACCAATCTTCGTACGACTGCTGAGAACGAGTGCCGACAGCCACATGACAGGTCGTGTTATCTTGAAAAATTCCCTCATGGCAGAACAATCTAGTGACAAAAAGCTATTGCTGCTCATCAAAATTCAGTTTTTACGAGGGGGAGCCGAATACTGTGCAAGTAGCACAGAATAATCAGACCATAGTCTTACACATTAGAGTCGCTTCGTGGTGAGATGAAAACAGCTGAACAAAAAAAATAGGCATAATCGACATTCATAGTAAAAAGGCCAATTGAAAAATAGTTTTTCAAAAAAATGAAAGGAAAACACAAAAAAATTGTTAAAAATTGAAAAAAAGCTCCCAATTTTATTGCAGAAAATTTTTGCATTTTGAAGTTTTTGATCGCCAAACTGGCGCTAAAACACTCCAAAAATTAACTTCACTAAAGTAAACATAAGTTTTCACGGTTTAAACTAACCAATAATAAGCTTTTGGAAGCCTGCTTAACCTCGCCTTATTAGCCTGAAAATAGACTAAAAATCAAAAATTTCTAATTGATTTTTCTCGACACTGACATTTATAAATGTTGGTCAAATTACGACTGAAAGAACTTTAATATGATATCTTACTCGACCCATTCCGATCATTTTTTGTTGTACCTGATTTTGTGTGGAAAACAAAAAAAAAGAAAAAACTTAAATCACATACGAATAAAAGTTCCTCCACATGTTTTAAATGGCAGGAACAAAATCTTTAAAATAACGTGAAAATTCAGTTGGCGTTTTTTGCAAATACAAAAAAAAAGCCGTTGCGTCATGGGAAACTTTCGGTCTTACTGCTATAAGCTTAGTTCCTATCATTTTGATTGAAATCTAAGAGGAAAGCATTCGGTTGGTATACAACTAGAGGGTGGTCGCAAATACGTGCAATCCAATCCAAAAACATCTGCTGAAAACTTAGAGCCATAGTGCAGAATGTTTGAAATTGTGTTTAATTATGATTCTTCTATTTCATTCACCACCATCATTACTCAAATACGTTCGGGAAAATATCAAAAGAAAAACCCCGGGCATTTTCCTAGGTGTGTTCCAACCAAACATTGAATCAAAACAAACAAACAATTCAGTTATTGTTTGATAACATATTCCCTGGAAAAAAAAACACGCCTTAAATCGTTTTGAAATTGAGCTGACTTCAAGCTATTTGAAACAAACATCTCGTAGCCTCATGTAAATTGATTCAATGAGACATAATTTGAGGTTTTCATTCTTCTTTTCGATCGTTGAGAACGTGCCAGAGATTCTCGATCGGTGGAAAATTTCGGAGAATTTGAGCTGGACACTTTGAAGAACTGGAAAAGTTTCTCTTTCTCACTAATTGAGTGGCTTTGCGCCATCATTTTGTAGAAACCATGTGCCATAAAAAAACAATTTGCCAATGGTTTGCAGACAGATTTTTAGTGGCATATAAAATGGCCAAAGTATAAGCCAGCCGAAGTATCAACCAGCAAAAATTACGTATGTGTTTTTTTAAAGTTATTACAAAAGTTCCTTATTTTAAAGTTATTACAAAAGTTCCCAGGTTGACAAAAATGCTAGTCATACAATTTTCATATATGGAAAAATGCTAATCATACGCTTTTCATGCAATTCCATAAGTACAGAAAATTGCATGAAAGGTCTATGATTAGTATTTTTTCATATATGGAAATTGTATGACTAGCATTTTTCCATAAACCAAGAAAATTGATTTTTTACATTTTAATTTCCCAAAATTTTTTGGTTGTGTTCGTAACCGAACACAAATAACATAAGCCTTGGTTACTCAAACGTAATAACCAAAGATTTGGCCGTCTCGCTTTAAAAACGTATTGGAAACAGCCTGAAATGTCTCACACAAATGTATAACAAAAGTAACGAATATAACAAAAGTAACGAACTTTTAAATTTTGGCAAAAAGTTATGACAAAAGGAAAAAAATCCAATATTAGTATATCCAGGACTACGTTATACACACAAAAAAATTGAATTTTGCATGCAAAATTTTTTTTTCAAAAAAAGTTTTTTGTGTACGAAAATCAATTTGCATTTGAAAAAAAAACAAAAAAGTTTTGGGGCAATTTCATCAAAAAAAAAGCTAGTCATACATTTTCCATAAATGGCAATCGTATGATTAGCATTTTTTGACAGAAAGTTTTTCTTTTTTATTTATTACGATACACCGAATTTTATGCCAAAACAAGAGAAAAGTTTTTCGAAAATTCGACGACATCATTTTAGCAAAATGTATAAAATTTGTATGATTAGTATTTTTGCATAGATTTAGTTTATGGAATTGTATGATTAGCATTTTTGGTCTAGGGAGGTCAACCCGGGTTATGCGAATTTCATTGATGTGACGTAACGTTTCGGCTGAATTATATACTCCGCGCAATTTTGATTGGTTTATATTTCGGCTGGCAATGTGGAAAACAAAGTGATACAATTGATAGCTACTTAGGCTACCTATTTTGATTCAGTAATCGTGTTTTGGTTATTGCTGGTAACAAAAAAAGTACTTGCAAAATGAACTATATATAACAACAATAAATACGTTGAATTCCAGTAAAATCACAAAGCTCATAACAATTTTGGCATCAAATTTTTAATATATGAAAAACAGGTGCAACTGAAGCTAGAAACTTTGCCCGGGTTCAGCCACAGGCATTCAACCTGACGGTGTTGACTTTAATGTCTGGGTATTAAAAAAAATTTTCGAAGAAAAACCAAAGCAAATGGCGAATGAAAAGTTGAACTAATTTGATTTTAAATGTTAATTTCGATTTTTTCAACTTTTTCAAAGCGAAGTCCCATAATACCCACACTAGTAGCAGTAGTCAATTTGTTACCATGACATTGATATAAATTAGAAAAACTAACACGAGATTCTAATTGCTCCAAAAGTTTCCTACTAACTTATAATTTGTCTCAATATAGAAAAACCTCGTCGATCATAAAGTGACTCATGCATACATACGTTTTCGAAATTCAGCAAGTCATCCATACTTACAGCTAGCTAGTTATTTTTTGTAATTTCTTTCTGATTTTATTGCAAATTTGGCCATCGACCTCCAAAATCTCGAAGAAAAATGCCAAAAAATAAATAACACGAAATCTTAGTTAATCAAAAGATTTCATCATTGAAAGATTGAACGCAAAGGATGTTTTGCTTGACATCGACCTCATAAAAAGTATTAATGGACAGTTATTTTGATTGATTGCAACCTAGCCCGTTTCTTTTGGAATTGTATCTATATTACTCATAAATTCATATTTTCGTCAACACTGTATTAATAAGGAAGTTGTAAATTTGAATTTAGACGACCGCACCTTTTTTAAAACTCTTCTACGTTGATTCTAGCAAGAACGGGATATTTTCATCGATTTATATCATTGATATAGAAACTCATTTTAAACATATTTTGGATCCCAAAATACTTCATCTGCTCTGCCTGTGGCAATTAAAAATTGATTGGAAAAAAAAAAATGGGAGTGGTAATTGAGTATACAGATGAATGAAAATGAAGTTTTCTCGCCACGATCAATAAATCTGTCAATCAAATTTTTTTGTTGAAAAACCGCGGTCGTAATTCAAAACAATTTACAAGATTTTGTCATATGGAATATCGATATGCAAAAATCGATAGTAAGTTATTAATTACTTATTTTGAATCTACAATGTTTTGTTTATTTAGGTACGTTCAAACTCAGAAAGGTAGAGTTGCAGAAAGAAGGGTTTGACTTGGAGAAAGTTCACGATCCGATTTGGTTCTGGAAGGCGAAAGAGAGCAAATACGAGCTCATGTCTTTCGACACTTATACCAACATCATTCAAGCTAATACCTCTCTCTAAATGGACAGATAAACTGTTTTTTTTTTCACTTCTATTTTTGGGCTTTGGGCGTCAATATGTCTCAATGTGCCGTGGTCCCCAATATAATCACTTTGAAGGAAAATGCGCGCCGAAAAAACGCGTTTTTTTGGCCAGAACTTTAACAAAAGTCCAAAAAACTATATCAGCATCTGTTGCGTAAAATACAATTATTCCGGTACGATATGTAATTATAATTTTAATTTGTAAAATTGAAATAATTTTTATTGAAATAAAGTGCAAAGTATTCGTTTTTTCTTAAAGTGCTTTCCATTTTAATTTGGCAGATTTTTAATGATTTACAGATATTTAACTGGCCCAAGTTAATATCAATTTTACAAGTTTCAAAGGCATAAAATTCGTCAATTCTGGGTACAAGTATAATAGCTGAAAGAAGCATGAAAAAAAGAAGCATATTAGGTCCCTGAAAGAAGCAAGTATGAAAGATGGGTCCCACAATTTTTAAGAAAATATCAAGAAAAAGTCAAAAAACAAAAAATATTGAACCTGTTTCCGAACACTTTAAGCACGAAAAATTTCTTTCGGTGAACCATCTAAATTGAAGGAACTCAAGTATTATACTTGTACCCAATTCTGACTTTTTAAAAATGATTTAAAGTAATAACAAGCACCAATTTTTCTGACATGATTATGAACTATATTTTTGCCATTTAAAGACGAGCCAGAGTTTTGCCAGCTTAGGTGGATTACATTGGAATGAGATGGTATCAAAACGGGCACAAAAAACAAAAACAGCCCTCGTGAATGAAAGATTTTTTCTAGAATATTCTATTTTTACGTTGAAACAAACGAGCCCTGGAGCTCAACGAGCATTGCAAGAAGCTAACGGGCATCATAAACACAAAGTCGATGGTATTGCGGCTATTCTGATTGCAACACAGATTAAGTTGTTTATTGCAATTCCATGTATATTGTGATTGCTTGTTCAACAAAAGCAATGCAATTACTAGATACGAATTATGAAAAAATTGACAAACATTTTTTTGACATTTTTCGGCTGAAAATTTTTTTCAGCTAAGTTAAAATTGTGTATTGGTACCTGATAAATTTTTGAGTGAATTAAAAATCACGCATTTTGAAAAAAAAAACACCAGCTGTAGATGGTTATAGGCCAACAAGCCCAACGGCCAACAAACCGAAAACGAAAATAGGATTATCGTTCCTGCAAGCCAAAAACTAATATTAATATGAAAAATAACAGTTTGCCTTTGTTGTTATACAATTGTTACTTAATTCTGATGTAAATTAGTAAATTACGTTATTCTGACGTGAATTCGGCTTCATGATATGGCGAATTGTTGAGCAAACGCCACTATATATATTTTTTTATAAATATATATACAGGGTGTTTTCAAAACTTGCTTTTATAAATCATCTCTGATTTCTCGAATATTTGGGTCATTAAAACGATGTTTTTCGAATTTTCCGAATTTTGATGATGTGACTCCTTAATTTGGATTGTTTTTTGTTCACGCAATTTTCGCGATTTAATGAAATTTCACCACTTTTTGCGCTGAACAAGCTACAATTGTGCTTAATGAAAACAACCGGATAAAATGGATTAAAACAGAATGTTTGGCAAAAAATGACGAAGACACAAAATGCTTAAAATTCTACCAGTTTTTTATGTTGTAAATTTTAATGCAAAAATCAAACAAAATTTACACCCTCTGGTTAATTCTTTTGATTCATAATTAAGGAGGGAAGCAGGGTCAATTGTAGTTATTCTTACATCAATTGACTTTGTTTATCTCCTTAATTTTGAATCAAACGAATTGGCCCGTTTTAAAGATGTAATTTTTGTTTAATTTTTTGCATTGAACTTTACGCCATAAGAAGCTGGTAAAAATCCAAGCGTTTTTTATCTTCATCATTTTTTGGCCGAACGTAACCTAGTTTGAGAAAAACGATTTTAAAGATTCGTTTTTCAGTTCATTTTATCGAGTCGTTTTCATTCATCACACTATAGTAGTAGAACAAAAATCAAAGAAAAGTTAATAAATTGCAATACATGCGTGAAAAAATCCAAATCCTTGAATTAAATCACAATGACTTCGTAAATTTTCTTGCCTACTGCAGTTTTTGTGAAATGAGAGAGTTTTTATAGAAAAAACACGTTTTGAAAAAACCATGTAAAATATTTTGCAGTTCTTTTAAAATTGATTTGAACGGTGAGATTCAATTTAAATTTCAGTGTCAAGTTTGAGATATACTGGTTCCAAATTGTGCAATTGATGTGTACATTGAAGATTAAATTCAAGGCACAAATTGTTGGTCACAATTTGGCTGTAACTTCATTTTCAGCCATCCGTGGTAAAGATATCTACAATGAAACCATATATTTTGCCAGCTTTTCTTTAATTTTTTGGTTAATTACTCTCGTGAAACAGGAAAAGTTATCGCGTCCTGCTTTATGATTCCGACCACTGAAAGTGGAAAGGAACTTTTTCTTCGGTTGTGTTCTATTATTTTTTCTATTTTTTACAAGCAAAATTGAATGCAATAAATAATAATGCAATAAATAAGCAAAATTCGGAAGGGTTTGAGTGCTATATCATACATAAGCGTTTGCTGACCTAATTTGGACCATATTTAAAATTTCCAAATAGTCACTCAGAGTTAAGAAAAACTGATTTGAAATTTTAGTTTGTCGGTCTAGTTTCGAGCAAATAAAGCAAACAAGAAAGCATATAATATGAAAAGAAGAATTAAGAAATTAGTTTTATTCCGGGAATACTAGTTTATGAAAATTTTTGTAGCACTTTCTTGACTATCAGAAAAATTGTAAAATTGAAGAAAGTTACAAAATTGTTATGAGTTTTTTCAACTGTATTTTTTCGAAACATTTATAATAGAGACGCTTGTTAAAAATTGAACGCAGCTTTCTTATAGGCTTTCATTAAGATCTTGTAATAGTCGAACGAACAATAAACATCACAAATTGCGAAAAAAAATTATAATTTTAGTTGGTGATCGGAACTTTCTGTGCCACGTAAACAGCAACTGGCTATCCTTGTTCTTGCTATCTTGCTATGTTTGTTCGTTTTTGACTTCCACCAACTCAGTTTTTCGAAGGTTTTGATGCCTTAAAAAACAGTTTGCTCAATTTTGTACGTGACGTTAACTTAATGAAAAATTTTTTGCTCTTGGGGAGAAAGCTAAGTTAATTATGTTGCAGAAACGAAATTTATTAAATTCAATTTTTCCATATCTTTTTAAAAAAATTATCCAAAGCAAAACCTCTCTAACAAATTAAAGTTGACTCGCACTTTAGATCCAACAAGAGTTACTCTAACCATGTATCAAATAATTTCACTTATAGATGAAATTTCACTAGTGATCGCTTACATGCAGTGTGGGGCTCATTTGAAAAGAGATGAGTGAGAAAAATCTTTTTGAAAAGACTTATTGAAAAGAGAGCTAATAGGAAATGACTAGTTTGAAGAAACAAAGAAACAACTTAAAAAAACAGACCTTTCTTGGAAAAATGATAAAATCCATTGCACAAAAACAGCCGAGAAACACAACAACAACTAATAAATGAACGCTCACTAGTTACCGAGTGGCCAATCAGTCAAAATCTTTTAGACTTAAAATGTCAACGCGAAAAAATTTACACTATATATAGAAGCCAGGATTAGTAAACTTACAAACTACAGGAATTAATCAAAAAAATTTGCAGCTACAAGAAAAATTGCTATCAGCACAATATTTTGATATGAAACCAATAAGCAAACAATACAAGCAGAAAAGCAATAGTCCGAACGATTACTCAATTTTTGCCGGAAAGAAAAATATTTTGACCTAGTGGGAAAGAGCCTGGTTATTTTTGAAGATCATTAAGAGAACAAGTTCCACTTGCGAAACAGCAGAAACAGTGAAATACAAGATAGTGAAGAGCTAAAGAGACATTTTTTTGAAAAAATCGATAAAAAATTTATTTAAATAGTTGATAGTCTAAGATAATTTTTGTAGACAGTTTGAGAAAACAGTCCGAACCTTTCAACGAGCAGCAACTAAGCTGACCACATTTAAGTCAACACCTGCTAAGCCAAAAACAAATTTACAGACAAAAGTTTCTGAAACTGAAATTTCTTACGGCCCATCCATCTTTAAACGAACAAAATCTTTAAAAAAATTATGTACGCAAAAGGAGCGTACCTAAGTATATAACCTAAGTCGAAACTAGTTGTAAAAATTCGAATCCAGTTTTGATATATTCGCAAACTAAAGAACAACCTTCACTTAATATAAAAACTTTTGAAAACAGAATAAAAACCCAGGTAAGGGTTCTAATGAAAAACCGTTCCAGATAACATAAATGCCTTGAAAATGAAACCGGAAATTGAGCCGAGAGAAATTAAGACGAAAACAACTGACCCGATAAAAACTTGATTTTTTCCTATCAGTGTATTTCAAAAAAATGATTATTTTTACCCACTCGGGTTGAACAAAAATGCTAGTCTTACAATTTTCATATATGGGAAAATGATTTTCATACCTTTTTAAATTAAATTCCAAATGTACGAAAATTGCATGGAAAGTCTGGTAAGTGATTTTTGGAAATTGTATGGAAATTGTATCATTAGTAATTTAAAAAAAAGTTTGTCAAACTATTTTTGGGTTGTGTTTGTAGCCAAACAGAAGTGACAAAGCTCGTGGTTACTCAAAGCTAGTGCTCTAAAGTTTAACAGTCTTGCGTGTACAGCGCATTAGAAATGACCTGAATATTGATGACTTACGCAAACAAAGTAACAGAAAGAGCGAACTTCTAGATTTTGGTAAAAATTTCAAAGATGGTGATTTTGTGAAATAAAAGTTTTAAATAATTATGCAGTGACCGAGGTATACGAATATGAGCTCTTTGATTGTTTTTGCAAAACAAAATCATCTAGCAAACCTGAAAATTAATCCAATTTTTGTGTATCCAGGACTACGTTATGCACACAAAAACTTAAACTTTGCTTGTAAAAAAAACTGCTTGGAAAATATTTGTTCGGTTACATAAATCATTTGCGCTTTGATACAAAAATACAAAAAAAGACGAAAAAAAAAAACGAAACAAGATTTTTTGAGTGGCCATGAAAAAATGCTTGTCATACAATTTCCATGATTTAAAAATTCTATGCTTAGCGTTTTTGCCAAGAATGTTTACTTCAATAGTTATGACGATAAACCAAATTAAGAAAAAAAGTTTTCAAAGTCAATACACTTTTTG